GGAAAGCATGTTACCTTTTCAATTTAAAACTATTGGCAACTGGGTGTTGTTTGAAAAATATAACACATAGCTCTAAATGGGTCTAACCAACTTCTTGAACACCATGTTTTGATCATTCATGGAACACCACAGGATGACCCGACCTGTGGATCTGGCGATGTCGGGTATTCGAAGGCATGGGAGAAGGCAATCCAGGAGTACAACCAGTTTGGGCTTGCGGCCACATCCCCCAAAGAGCGCATCGACCCTGTTACATCGAAGACGATGTTTGGGTTCAAGGTTTCTCTATTTGACAAAACCTCATGAACACATTTGTATGGTTTGGGAAGTTGCCTGAATTGTTCCCGAGAGCGCCTGCGAAGGGTTCTTCGTAAAAAAGCAGCCGTTATACTAGATCTTCACTCCTTCACATCTGCTGATCTAGATCTTCACTCCTTCACATCTGCGGATCTAGATCTTCACTCCTTCACATCTGCTGATCTAGATCTTCACTCCTTCACATCTGCGGATCCAGATCTTCACTCCTTCACATCTGCTGATCTAGATCTTCATACCCTCACACCTGCAGATCTAGATCTTCACTCCTTCACATCTGCTGATCTAGATCTTCACTCCTTCACATCTGCTGATCTAGATCTTCACACCCTCACACCTGCAGATCTAGATCTTCACACCCTCACACCTGCAGATCTAGATCTTCACACCCCCACATCTGCAGATCTACATCTTCACACCCTCACATCTGCCGATCTAGATCTTCACACCTTCACAGATCTAGATCTTCACACCCTCACATCTGCAGATCTAGATCTTCATACCCTCACACCTGCAGATCTAGATCTTCACACCCTCACACCTGCAGATCTAGATCTTCACACTCGCACATCTGCCGATCTACATCTTCACACCTTCACATCTGCAGATCTCCTCTCGCTCTTCTTCTATTCTCTCTTAAGGCGGGGGCGGTGCCGCCGGAGCGCCACGAAACGCAACCCTTTCGCACGAAATGGACGTTGGACGTCCAAAACCTAGGTAAAAATTGCGATTTTGAAGCGTCCCGCGCAACCCTTTCGCACGAAATGGACGTTGGACGTCAAAAACTGGGGAAAAATTGCGACTTTGAAGCGTCCCGCGCAACCCTTTCGCACGAAATGGACGTTGGACGTCAAAAACTGAGGAAAAATTGCGACTTTACTTTGTCCCGCGCAACCCTTACGCACGAAATGGACGTTGGACGTCAAAAACTGAGGAAAAATTGCGACTTTGAGGTGTCCCGCGCAACCCTTACGCACGAAATGGACGTTGGACGTCAAAACTGAGGAAAAATTGCGACTTTGAGGTGTCAATCGCAACCCTTACACACGAAATGGAGGTTGGACGTCAAAAACTGAGGAAAAATTGCGATTTTACTTGGTCAATCGTAACCCTTTCGCACGAAATGGACGTTGGACGTCAAAAACTGAGGAAAAATTGCGATTTTACTTGGTCAATCGTAACCCTTTCGCACGAAATGGACGTTGGACATCAAAAACTGAGGAAAAATTGCGATGGACGCTTTCGTTTCTGTACAAGTGTCTGTGTGTAAAAGCGTCTGTGTGTAAAAGCGTTTGTGTTTGAAAGCGTGTGTGCGTGTGTAAAAAGCATCTGCGTGTAAAAGCGTCCTGTGTAAAAGCGTTTGTGTGTCAACGCGTCTGTGTGTAAAAACGTTTGTGTGTGAAAGCGTGTGTGCGTGTGTAAAACGTATCTGCGTGTAGAAGCGTCTGTGTGTAAAACCGTCTCTGTGTAAAAGCTTTTGTGTGTAAAAGCGTCTGTGTGTAAAAGCGTCTGTGTGTAAAAGCGTTGCGTCTGTGTGTAAAAGCGTCTGTGTGTAAAAGTGTTTCTGTGTAAAGGAGTTGTAGAGGTTACCAAGTACTTCTTTCCTGGGCTCGGACGTGGACGTAGAGACAAGATGCATTGTGCACAGAGTGAACATCCATATTCTTATATGTACGCTGAATGTTCGTGAAACAAGTGAGGATTGGCAAACGGGTATCTGTAACATTTCTTGCACTTCTCGAGGTTTCTGTAGGGTCAGTCCATGAGATCTCGAGAATTGCAGTGTTTGTTTACGATGCAGTGGATCTATGTGATGTATAGCACGAAAAACATATATGTGTTGTTTTCATTCAAATTATGAGCAGTGGACAAAAAAAATAAATAATTCGGGAATCACTGCACCGTTCAATTTTGTCTGGGCCGCTCGGCAATGGCCGCGTGGAGACCGCCGGAGGATGAGGAAGTGGCATGGGTGTTGGAAGTTGTGGGGTGCAAGCGATCTCATCTTGGAGACATGTCGGAGGATGAGTTCCGATACATCTATTCAAATGAATATCATGTGGTTTTAGTCGGCGATTCACGGGACCCATTTGCTTTTTTTTTTTTGAAGTGTGTTGATTTGATGTGTTCATTGCAAGCTTCACTGTTCAGTTTGCAGGTCTCTGCGACAATGGTGCCCATGCCCAGTGTCAAACTTAGCAATTGTGCCCTGAGCGTCGAAGTCGGAGAACGATTTCTTGGCATTGGATTGTGTGAGTGCGTAGCTCACTGCATCTTTCTCACTGCATATTCAAATGAATAACATGTGGTTGTAGTCGGCGATTCACGGTACACAATTTTTTTGAAGTGAGGTCATACACGGCATCATGGTACCGGGCTTATTTGCTATGTCAAACTCCGGAGTCGTGTTTTCAGTTTCGAATTGAAAGAGCAGATGCTTCGCATTGGATTGTGTGTTATACATTTTTTGCCTCAGATGTAAACGCATGGACCAGATGCGTTTCGCTGAATAGATGTGACGTTTGTAGGTCAAGCTGTGGTGGAAATATCGAAACCTTGCGCTTTCAACTAATACTTCTGTAGCCTGCATTAACAGCATGTCGCGCCTGGCAGCCGATTGCTTTGCAGCTGCGGGGAGATTGCAATATACTTGTATTACATTCTGTTTTCAAATGAAGAAGCAAGAGATGATGCCAACCCATTATGGGTCTTGGTGTTGAAGGATACCCGGCGGCAGCGCCCACATCGTTGGACATGACAGCAGTTAACAACAAACAAAATTTTGGTGCACAAACGTGTCGCATAAAGTATTTGGGGATTTAAATGTGGTCTGCCATGGCAGCGAATGCGGAGGGAATCCGTGCAAGGGCGGATGTCTTTGATGAACAAATTCTACGACACGTTCTTTCATTTGTGCCTGGGAGCTCTGAATTGGCTCCAAAATATTCTTTGCAACCAGAAACCGGACACTATCTGGTAAAAGCTGGTTGGCCAGTTGTTTTGAAGAAAATGTGTCATTGGAAGGAGGCAGACACCACCATCTGTATTTGCTGCGGTGCCAACCAAGAACCCGGCGATCCAAACGAGTCAGACGATAGCTGGACATCTCAGCAAATCTCTGCTGGCTGGGCAAAGATCATGACCGTGACAATACCACACTTTCGTCATCATCATCTGAAATATATCAAAAAAAACAGTCAGAAGCATAGAACATGTTTGGAGGACAATGGCAGCCGAGAGATGTTACATCTGCGGGCACTGCAACGACTGCGTTGTGAATCTCGAGTATGAGCATCCTGCTGACTGGCTGGAAGATCTTTCTGCGTTCACAGAGATGCTGGAACTTAGGTCGTGTCCGTGGAGGTGCCCAGATAAAGATCGACCGCAGTAGCCGGATTGCTGCAGTAGTAAAAGCGGCAAACATGCCACATCTGCAGCATCATGGTACCGACCTTTGCTTGGACGCAGCTTGTGGGAGCTGGAAGGCTTGCGTACCGAGTGGCACTGAGTGCAACTGGCGCAAATTAATCTGTAGCACTGTTCGTCTGGAGAGACTGTTCGTGACGAACATACAAAACCAGTATGTTCGTCTGGAGAGACTGTTCGTGACGAACATGCAAAACCAGTAGCCAACTGTTGTTTGTCTGTAAAGTTTTTTTTCCATCCTGTAGGGACATCGGAGAAATGCAGTGAAACAGGTGTTATCCTTGCCATCATGATATCGAACTTGCTATCATTCACAGCATTCTTGCACGGATTTCTAGTTTCTTACGGAGCCTTTGTTTGTGTACTTTTGCATTTTGTAGCATTTTCATTGCGACTATGTTTGCCCACCTTTGTTTGCAACTAAGGTCATCCACGGCATCATGGTGCCGAGCTTCTTTTGTATCTCAAAGGTCTTTGTGTGGAAATGCGTCTGACCTCTCTCTCTCTTTATCTCTTCCCCCTCTTTCTCTCTGTGGTTGCAAGACACATGTCATCTGATGCCCTTTACCAAATATTCTCTTCTTGATCAATCTTACTTTTTTACATCATGTCTTTCCATAGCTCATATAAAATTCACCAACTATTCACCGACTATCTTTTACGACTACCATACTCAGAGCTGCTTGAAACACATCTTTTTCGCTCTCGGGCCAACCGTCGTCTAGTTTTTTATTGGGAATTTCGTTGGCCAAATTGAAATTTAATACTTTTCCCATGAGACCACATACATGTGTTTAGTGGAATGCAATATTTCAATCCCATACCATCCCATTAGAAATCACAAACCCTTAGCATCCACCAGGTTGGGGTTTCAGACAAATCTTGGAAGCTCTTGACCCAGCACTTGCACATGAACAAGTTCGAGAACTCAGGCCCAGATAACTCACACCACACTATAGTAGAGGGTGAAAAGAATTGGTTCATACTTAAAGTAAAAATCAGATTGATACATGTGTTGATGTTCAAATGCTCAAGCAAACCCCAGTATTGCTTTTTCAAGAAAACATTGGATTCTTATTAATCCACCACCCATAAATTCTATGTTCGATTGATACCACCACACTTTTTGAGTGCCCAGCGTTTCATCATTCACAGCACCGGCCCTGCCAGCATTTTCCAAAGAGACATTGCTGGACCCACGATGGTACTTGGGAAGTTCTCGCAAGGGTGTGACTGGGTATTGGTACGACCTCTTGAAGATGGACCATGCAGCCCAGCATGTGTTTCTCCAAAGAATTCTATTCATGTTCGAAATCCTCAAGCGAAAAGCTGGTCGATGTCAAAGTCTCAAGATACCCCTTGCCACATGGCAATTTGAAGCTGACCTCACATGCCTGGTGTGTCATGTGTTGGAGGAAATGCGAAACCATAGGACTCCAGACAACCAGCTTGTTTTCACAGACTCTGTATTGGTATCTGTGATGAAAGGCTTCATCGATGGGATCTTTGGGCTTAATGATATTCCAAAAGAGGTTGAAAGAACTTTGGTTTATGAGGGTTAATGGTAGCCTAGGAAACTGTCAAAACAGATCAACCTCTTCTGGGTGCTGCTTTTGTTTTTATGGTCTTTGATGGTCTTTGACTCCATACACTGCCATAATCATTAATCAGGGTGGTATCTTGCCTAAATCCTGGCTGGGGTATTTTGGGATGCATCAGTGGGGTGGATGGGAAAAATCTTTCAGAGAACCCATTGGAATGTTTTGAAAAAAATGTGATCCCAGGTTTCTTTCAATCCCCGAGACATTCCTTTGAAATATCAACCATGGTTCAAGTGTGCAACCTCAGGGACTACCATGACGAGCTCAAGCCCATGGTCGACATCATGGACCCGGCATTCAAACCCCAGGATCTTAGCATTTGGACTGAGAATTTGCCTACGATTGCCAATCAGGGTACCAATTCAACAGACCAGTTGGTTGCCACTGACAAGATCATTGACTCCATGGCTGCCAACACAGCAAAACTCCAATTCGAGGCTGACAGTCTTTCCATTGCCCGAGATGCAGCCCAGCTAGCACGGCTGTATGGTGAGGTATGCAAGTCAAGCCGAGCCTTGCGTCTCATGAAGGTTCACCACCTGCGGCAGGAGAATCAAATTGGGTCGAGCTTGGTTGCAGCCCACATGGAGAAGGCTTGTAAGTTCATAGCTGGACCAGTTGCAGAGCTTACATCTGAAGCCTTTAAGGTTGGGGTGGGTTTACAAACATTTTGGATTGACATGATCATGATCAATGTTGATGTGATTAGAAAAATCCATTCATATATTCATATGGGTTTAAAAGTTTAAAGAAATCTCATGAAGGACATGAATAATCTTGATTCAAGTCTTTCTTATGAAACCCTGCAGTTTGCATCTGCGATCAACAATGCCAATGGGGCTTTGGTTGTATGGGTGGACTTCATGAAATTAGGATGCCTCACAACCAAAGACTTGAACAATTGTGTGGACATTGCCAAGAAAGCCCTCAGTGCCATCCCAGAGCGAGGGGTCTGTTTGGCTTTAGCCCCACAGATTCTGTCCGAGAAAAGGAGTGGGCTGAGAGAGGAATGGAGGCTGGAATACCCACCCCCAAAATAAATATATGTTGATGATGGTGATGATGATGGTGATGATGGTGATGATGATGGTGATGATGGTGATGGAGATGATGATGATGATGATGATGATGACAATGATGATGATGATGGTGATGATGATGATGATGATGATGATGACGATGACGATGATGATGATGATGATGAGTGACAGTAGGAAGATGCTGATGGTGGCGACTATCATGATAATGATAATGGTGATTGTTAGGATGATGATGATGGTGATGATGATGATGATGATGACAATGATGATGATGGTGATGGTGATGGTGGTGGTGATGATGATGATTATGAGGATATGGTGATGATGATGATGATGATGGTGATGATTGTTATATTATAAATTACTTTTTTACTAAAAAATGAAATTTATCTGTTCTCATCAATTTGTTTCTCAAGATGACACGTTTCATACTTCATTCCCCATGAATTTTGGCAAAACCAAGCCACGCATTCCCCAGTGTACACCCACAACATGTTTAGCACGTACAAGGCCATTCAAACAATATTATATAATTCATATTGGTATGTTACAACATAGAACTTATATAATGTAAAAGATGTAAAATAACAAAGCTCGATGGCTTGTAACATATTGAACTATGTCGCCCGGGAAAGATGCGCCTTCCAACAGCATCCTCCATCAGGCGGGTGGAGGACAAATGCGACGCACGACACCTGGCGAGTGAATCTTTCAACGTGAGGATGGACCAGCCCCCGGTTCGAAAGCGAGTTCCCATGACATACCCTGGGTGGTTGATCTTTGAGGATGGTTGCGTAGGAACCAACATCTGGAAGGATTGCCAACTGCTCCAAGACAGGAACCGGGTGAAACATAGTCCAAAAAATTGCTCCTCAAAACACCAGGGGGGGTACTAAGATATTCAATCCCTTCTATCTCATTAAAACATAATATGTATATATAATATATATATTATATTATATATTCTATATATTATATATATATATATATTATATTATATATATATATTATATTATATATATATATTATACATATATTATATTATATATTGTGTATTAATATATTATATATTATATATATATTCTATTATATATTCTATATATTATATTTTATATATGTGTGTATTATATTATATAAATAATATGTGTTTCCCAGATACACTCAATGGGTTTAACTTGTACCCATGCAATGCTGTTCAATCCCCTGCAAGGACAACGAGGGAGAGCTTGCCGTGGTCCCCAGAGAGCCAGTACGTGGTTCCCTCATCAAGTGGATCGCTTCCACATGCAAGCGAGGGTGTCAGGCACTGGGTGTTGCCAAGCAAACATACTCCCGCAACACCAATATTTGAACTTAGGTTCTTTCACCAATCAAAGGTTTATTATCACTATCAAAGTTTCACATTGGTCCCCTGTTCTTTCACCAACCAAAGAGTTAAGGTTATCGGTTTATATCACTATCAACCCATGATGGGGATTGGGAAAAATTGTTGCCCCCTACCCAGGGCGCTGAGTGATGTGCAAGAATGTGCGCAGCTACTGTGTGGTCCTCACATGCCTACACTTCTTTTGCAAAGCTTACTCAATGGCTGCAACTTGGGGCAGCGAGTGGGTGTTTTGAACTTGACCCCTTACGATTCTGATTTGGAAGTGGTGTGCATGAAATGGGCCCTCCAAGATCCATCTCGCACCTTCCAAGTGCTCAGCTTGTCCACAGACCTGACAGTGGTGGACCATTGCAAGAAGATCTGTGGGATGATGCTTTTCGAGGTTGGGTGTAATGTGGGTGCTGGTGTGCACGTGTGTGCTTCAACATTGTTGCATCGTCTAATCCAAATCAAATCTTACATGAACCTAAATCAAAATCTGAAATCAAATTCAGTCACCAGATCGAAATGGGTAGATTGTAACTAACTCCATTTTGCAATACCTGAGGTATGGGGTGTCCAAAGCTCTTCTGAAATCCAGTGCTAAGCAAATGTGTTGCATTCAAAATACTTGCATCCCATGCAGGACTGGAAGAACCATGGCAAAATCATGGGGGACGTTCGCAAGTATGATCCCTCTTGTCAGTCGACCACTGGAGAGATTGATTTGGATTCCTTTCCCCTGAAGTTAGCGAAGCTTTCAGTGGACCAGTCGAAAACTGGATGGCAAAAGTACAAGGTTGCACTCCCGAATGAGGTCCGAGGGCTCCATTTGACTGACCCTATCAATGCCCCTGCTTGGAAAGCATTGGTGACTGACTTCGACCGAAAGTTTTTTGGTGTAATCAATACCTAATGGTATGTTTTATTGTTTTAACTTTTGGTCCCATGTATGAGGAAAAATCCTGACAAGGCAATGGTTACATCCCCAAATCCTGGAGATTCCAGGTTCTGTGGCAACATGGTCCATGATGATGTGTCCAGCGCCATCGTGCCTCATGAGCCGGAAGAGGAGTCTCCAGCGCCCTGGACCTGCGAGCCGACAGCAATCGAATCGCTTCTGGACCAGTACCATATCGAGAACAAGGTCCCCGGGAGAATCCCTGGTACTACCCTTTACCTGACCTTGGCAACTGGCAGGAACGGGAACACCACCGAAACCATCGACAACCAGAGGTTCAAGTTGTTCTTAGTGATTTGTCTTGAACATCAGGTGTTCTATTTTGGAATCATACTATTTGCTGAAGCATGCACTTTATTAAGTTTATGTAAGGGGCAAGAACCAGCAGTGAATGTTTTCTAATTCATTTTAATTATGAGCCACCTTTCTAAAAAACAGCTCAAGGTGGCACACCAAGATGTCATGTTGGATCCAAACGAATTTCAATTGGCACATGGCAAGTCGAGCTTCCTCAAGCCCGACAAAGTGGCGAAGCTTTGCCGGGAGAACTCTGGGACAGGCCCAGCTATTTGCCCCGGGGAAGTGTGTCTAATAAATCAGGAACGGGAACACCACCGAAACCATCGACAACCAGAGGTTCAAGTTGTTCTTAGTGATTTGTCTTGAACATCAGGTGTTCTATTTTGGAATCATACTATTTGCTGAAGCATGCACTTTATTAAGTTTATGTAAGGGGCAAGAACCAGCAGTGAATGTTTTCTAATTCATTTTAATTATGAGCCACCTTTCTAAAAAACAGCTCAAGGTGGCACACCAAGATGTCATGTTGGATCCAAACGAATTTCAATTGGCACATGGCAAGTCGAGCTTCCTCAAGCCCGACAAAGTGGCGAAGCTTTGCCGGGAGAACTCTGGGACAGGCCCAGCTATTTGCCCCGGGGAAGTGTGTCTAATAAATCATGAGTCTAGTCATGTCGAGATGCAGTTGAATCTTTGGCTATTCCAATCCGACCCTGCATTCCATTCCGACCTGCTTGCCCCAGACTAGCCAGCTTGGTAGTTTTGAAGTGGGTGTGCCCCATTAATCCGTGTGGTTTTAGTTACAGCAGCCATGGATCTTAGCTCGATCTTGGCCCGGCATGGTTTGCAACAGGACAGATCCCAGCACAAATTTCAAGTTTTCAAATTACCAGGTTGGTGTGTTGTATATGTGTGTATGTCTAAATTGTTTAGACCTTTTTTCAATCAGTTTCCAGGACTTGGACTTGATGTTGGAGAGAAGCCCTGATGCGGCAGAAACACCCAGGGACCAAATTGTTTCGACCTCAAAACATGGAGGTGTCAGGTTCACTATCCAAACTTATGTGGTGAAAATTGTCCAGCTATGACACAACTGTTCATTTATTCACCTATTGATCATTTCCACCCTATCATTCTTTGTTACTTTGTGCCCATGATCCCGAGGTCACAAATCGAACACCAAAGCAGAACAAGGAGAGCCCTGACGAGGACAAGCAACCTTTGCCACTGAGGGGTGCTAGGCAACCAAAGCTATCCCCCAAGGAATCTGTGGAGTTGAAATCGAAAGTTGATACTGCCATGGCAAATCTGGGAAAGGATAGCAAGGCGGCTTCGAAGGCAGCCAAAGCAATCAAAAATACGATTGCTTTGGACAAGGTTCCCAACAATGCCCACAAGAAACCTCGCAAGAACTCTGGTAAGAAACAAAAGGATGAGAAGGATGAAACCGATGCTGAGGATTGCGACATTCCCCCATCCCAGCCTGATGTGCCGAAGCGCAGACCCAGGGCTTCCAGTGCAAAGGCCTCCCCGAAGGCAAAGGCTTCTGCGAAGTCAAAGGGTAAGGGAAAGCTGGCGACCAAAGCATCGAAGAAAAAGGCTGTCCCTAAGGCCATGGGTTTCTTTAGTGTTTCACTGCATCATCTGTAGGAAAAATATTAATAAAATCATTCAAAGCTCTTCCAAACCTCAATCCACTTCCCATTCCCTCAGCCAGCTCTCGCTTCTTTCAGGCCGCGCCCTCCAAGGGCTCTGTAAAGAAGCGTCCCGGAGCCAAGGCCACAGCCTTGGGATCAGTGTTACCACTGGTGACATCACTCGGGGGTTGTGAAATTAGGTGATGTCAGATCCTAGATGGAAAATCATGGGAGGATAATTATAGCATTAAAGATTCGAATTGATATCATTGCTCAAATACATTTCCTTTTCCTGTTGAGTCTTATTGTCAAAGATTACTCCATGAAGATTTAGCATCAATATGCATCCGTAATGAATCTGAATTTTGTGTCAAACAAAGATTCATCATTTTTTTGATTCAGCCCTTTGACACAGGTCAAGGAGGATGAGTACTTGGAGGAGGAAGAGGAGATCTCTTCTGGCTTTGGCATGAGCAGTGACGAAGAGGTCAACAAGGAGAAGGCAGCTGAGATCGAGAAGAAGAAGAAGGACGAGGCCATCTTGCGTAAGAAGACCCTGACCCTTGGTGAAGTCAGCGATGATGAGGCAGAGGAATCCGAAGAGGAGGGACCCACGGAGGACAAGGATGATGGCGACCAGGATGATGACGAGGGTGACAAGAAGGACGAAAATATGAGATCTATGTATTGGGCCGTGGTTCATGAAGCCCAGAAGGACATCAAGAAGGCCAACCCGGAGCTCACAGGACGAGAGGTCTTGAAGCGTGCCCGAAAGGTGTACTTTGATTGCACATAATTGCACAATATCAACCAACGATGTTTAACAGAATGGAACTGATGAGTCTGAGACATTCTTATTCGATCTTTGTTCGTATGATATCCTATGATTTAGAATTTGCAATCCAGTTCAACTATAGTTAAGCTGGCATCCAAGGTGGGAGACACATCCCCAGCGCCTCAACGCCATGAGCAAGTTTTCCAAGTCTGAGCTGAGTCGCCGACGTTTGAGCAAGAAGTGAAAGCTGATCGAAATTGTTTCGAAGCTCGTGTGGCCTTAGAATGCCCCCAAGTCAAGCAGTGCCCACTCAACCATCTCATTGGCAACACCACTTGCAGTCACTCTTTTTGATTCTGATTTCATTTTCTGGGGAGAGATGGAGTGGGGCTTGCATGGGCCCTTGGCCATTTAGGCAGCCATCAACGATGAACAGTTCATTGTTTGGTCTCATGGTTCTGATGCTTTCGATCAACGGGGAAATATTGAGTGATGCCTCGAACTTATGCTGGGGTTGCAGGCCAGGTAATGTTCGAAGCAAACAAGAGCACACTATAAGATTATATCATTATGAGTAAATTCTCAACCTCACATGTTTCAAAGAGAGTCTTTTAAACATACCACTGGAATCCTGAAATAATTTTGGCCACACTCTTAACCATGGAATTGCTGTTTCTTTGCAGGTGACCCCATGTCCAACATCATCCCGTTCCGCATCACTACGGACCAGGCGATCGTGGTGCTGGAAGTCCAATCCGACACCTCGAAAGCGTGCAATGACTCTGAACCCTGTACACTCAGGGCTTGGCTTCATGAATTTCAAGAAGAAGGTATCATTGACACTGGGGTGCATGGTCATGACTGTGACCAACCAGGGGTTCATGAGAATGGAAGTGTCCCAATCGCACTTTATTTACAGTACCTGCATGGTTTGGTTGATTTCAATGAGTATTCTGAATTGGATGGTCAGCTCTTAGATTTCTCATCACCTAGTCCTCCAAGGTGATGACAGATTCAATTTGTCTCCGACATCTACTGTAGCCATGTTCTCTTACACCCAGACCTTGCAGAACCTGAAGTACACTACCATGGCCAGTGTCTTCCCAACCAAGGAGTTCAACATAGTAAAGAAGATCAAATTGTTTCGTGTTGATGGGAATAAAGTGACATCAAAATAAAAGGTTCAAAGGTAAAACATGGCAAAGTGATGCAAAGTCATCGCAAACTTCATTAGTTATAAGCCTCTTCCAGGAGTTGGAGGCCTCACCTGTGCTACGTCGTTGTTGGCGTGTGGCATACTTGAAAGCTGAAAAGGTATCTTGTTTTTTCTTAATGGTGACCTGATGGAAACTCATGGATGAGAAATGATTTTTTGGGTACTCACCCAGGGTCGAGCACCAGCTGCCTCCACAGAATCTGAGGAACTGACCCCTCGTCACTTGGCAAAGAAAACCATGGCAAGACAACGAATCCACAGTGTGCTTGTGGCGTGTGATCATGTGTTTTTACTTATTTGATGTAAGCATGGTTTTTCTGAGGAAAGCCCCTCTATTTTGTCCGAGAGAAAATGAAGTTGGCTCCGAACCAAGTCGTTCGCTTGGTGTAGCTATGATATCAATGATGGAAGTCTGAATGCCATTGATGGCATGGGGTGATGAGCTAGGTATCCGAGCAAAGCTTAGATTTTTACCAGCTCTTGTAGCGTCTTGGGGGCACTTGGAGAAGCTGTGGTGTTGGTGGCAATGAGGGGATATAAACATACCACTAGTTAATATATCTCAGAATCATGATTAAACCAACCTATTATCGTGATAGCTGATAGTTAAAGTCATCAATGAGCTTATGATGGGTTTATGTCATACTTATCATATTTTACCCTCCATGTCACATTGCCACGTGGCTGTCTCCAGCGTGGATGAGCAAAAACTCAACGAGGTTCGGGGCAGCAAAAAGATGCTTCCTGTGGGCGCTGTGGTGGTGGTCCATGTTCTCTATCCTGTCTCTTTATATGTTCTCTAAACCTCAAATAAAATGAAATAGCCCTCGAATACAACGAAACTTACTTATATATAAAATTTCTTTTTATGGGTAACTACATTTCATAACTATGGAACGTCACCATTTTATAGCTGGGAAAACTCACTATTAACAATAGCTATGGCCATTTTCAATAGCAAACTGAAACAAATTACCAGGCCGGGTATATCCCATTTTCAGTGGATGAAACAATCCCATAAAATCTCCCATAATAAATCACCATTAAAAACCCATTAAACATAGATTAACCATAGATTAACTATAGAATAACCATAGAATAACCATTAAATTCATGAAATCTATCGTAGTTTACCCAGGTTCATTTATCCCAAATGCCAGGCCGCGTCGGCGGGCAAGTTCAAGACTGATGTGCAACAGGCCGTGTCGGTTGTTTAAAGGGCAGACACTCACAGCGGCACGTGGCATTCCAACGGCAAATCAGAGGAAAATGATGGGAAATCAGGGGAAAATGATGGAACAAAAACTGAACATGATGGGAACATGATGGGAAAATGATGGGAAAACGATGATTCAACTATGAACCAATGGACTGTTGGCCCATTTTCAGTTTTTTTTTGGGGGGTTTTGGCTCTAGAGACCTAAGACGGCTTCGAACATTCCCATCATTCGAACATCATCCCTAGGTGTCTGGTTGGTGGTTTCAAACATTTTTTTTTCCATTTCATATATGGGATGTCATCCTTCCCATTGACTAATATTTTTCAAGATGGTTAAAACCACCCACCAGGATCCACCAGGTGTGTTTTTCGAATCAGCCAGGGCGGGATCGACCTTCCACGGAGCCAGGAACAAGCCAAGACTGAAAAGGAGATGCAAACTGCGCAACAGGAGAGATGCCAAGCTGGGAGAAGTTTCATATGTTTCATTAGGTGGTGAACAATGCCATGTGGGTAAAACAATGCCATAAACCATTCCCCCAGTCATCACAATTTAAGTATGGGTGGTATGGTTACGCGCAAACCCCCCAGTTCGCCCACACAACTTCTTAGGGATTTTGAAGGAATATATATTCCGACCCCCGTTAATCTTTACATTCAATTGGGAAGATCAACAAGGGTATTAGGAATATAAATTCCCACCCCCGTTAAACTTTACATTCAATTGGAAAGATCAACAAAGGTATGAGGGAATATTACAGTCCCACCCCCGTTAAACTTCTACGTTCATTGAAGATCTTCAATAGGGTTTAATTCTCCCACCCCCGTTAAACTTCTACGTTCATTGAAGATCTTCAATAAGGGTTTAATTCTCCCACCCCCGTTAAACTTCTACATTCATTGAAGATCTTCAATGAGGGTTTAATTCTCCCACCCCCGTTAAAATTCTACATTCATTGAAAATCTTCAATAAGGGTTTAATTCTCCCACCCCCGTTAAACTTCTACATTCATTGAAGATCTTCAATAAGGGTTTTGTTCTCCCACCCCCGTTAAACTTCTACATTCATTGAAGATCTTCAATGATGGTTTAATTCTCCCACCACCGTTAAACTTCTACATTCATTGAAGATCTTCAATAAGGGTTTGATGATGATGATGATGATGATCATGATGATGATGATGATGCTGATGCTGATGCTGATGATGATGATGACGATGTTGTTGTAACATTCAACGCACAGGTAGCTAAGCTGTGCGTTGCAAGATGAAAGCCATGATCATGGACATGTGCATTTTGTCCCACAAAACGCAGTGTTTTTTGATGTTCGGACACGTCGTCGGCGTCGGCGCGGGCAAACTGAGGTGTTTTACCGTATGGTTACCATTCCCAGTCATGGGTGGTTTACGGCATTGTTTTACCCACATCAATGGTTATATTTGATGGTTGATTGATGGTTTACCATGCTTTATTGATGGTTCATGATGGTCAGATAGTTATATAATGTTGTATACCATCAAAATCCATTGATGATAGATACTATAGATGGTTTATGATCCATTAACTGTTGGATCTATATACCTCTGTTTAAGGATCATTGTGGGATACCATACGGATCGACTCGCCAATGGTTTTGCATACCATCAGCATCCATTGATTATAGACACTATTTATTATGAGAGTAATTACTGGTTAATGATTAATAAATGATGGTTAACGGTTACTGATTGTTATAGTGATGGTTGATGAACTATGATTCATATTTATTAGCTTCATATTCACTTAAATAATGGTGATCATTAACAAATAATAGGTTATCCTGTGGTTGAATGAGAACAATATTTGTTAACCCAAATTCCCAACCATGATTCATATTTATTAGCTTAATATTCACATAAATAATGCTTATCATTGACAAATAGATTAGGTTCTCAACCATTACTGTCATCATGGTTAATGATTAATAAATGATAGATATGTAAATCCTATGGTTAAATGTAATCATTCATGTTAAAAATCAACCATTAATGTCATCATGGTTAACACATATCCTATGATGATTCCCAATAATAATATTTCATGATTAACAAATATTAGGTTCCCAAATTTTCTTATCCTAAATATTGCTTAACAAATCATATTAGGTCAATCCTATGGTAAACTAACATAACTATGGGAAAACACCATTTCCAATGGGTAAATCCACTATTTCTATGGTCATTTTCCTATGGGTTTTGATGGATTCCCAACAAATACTCTGGCGCCTCCCAGGAGCTCCAGGCCATCCGGCGCGCCCTGGACTCCGCGGTGAGCGCCGCCACGGTGGCCGAGGCGCAGGAGGCGCAGGCGGCGAACGAGGCGCGCGAGGCCAATGGACGCGTGGAGGTGGCCAAGATCCTCGGTGGAAACCGAGGAACTCGGGGATTTTCCCCTTTGGAAATCGATGAAAAAACCTATGGAAGTCATGGAATTTCGATGGAAAAAAGGATGGAAATTCGATGGAACTTCGATAGAAAATCCATGGAACCCTAGGAAATTCGATGGAAAATCCTATGGAAACACGTGGATTTCGCCAAGGAATTGAAATCCAACTGGAAGATGTTTGGGATTTCCCCCCTGGAAACAGTGGAATAGTGGAAAAGTATGGAAAAGTATGGAAAACTAGAGGGATATAGAGGGATATATTATGAATTTATGAATTATATTGAATTACTATATATTTAAATGATGTGAGATGGTTTTGATACTGATGGGAATGGTGGTTGGTTTGGATGGGAAAACTATGGAATTTTCCATCTCCAGATGGGGTCCCAAAAGCACATCCGATATGTCAGTTGGGATGAGATCTTTTTATTTTTTGAGGGGGATAACATTGGGATATGAAAATCATACTTGATGAACTCTGTTCATATTCAATACAAATACCCTCTGGTAATTTAACGTAGCTATTGGAAATGGCCATTTATAGTTGATTTCCCCATTAAACATGGTGATTTTCCATAGCTATGTTAGTTTACCAGAGGGTAGTATATTGACATCCTTTTCATGCTGGTGAGTGGATGAGTAGAGGTGTAGTCCACACAACTGTCACATCTTTTCACTAAAAAATCTGGGAAATTGATACCAAACTAAGCTTAAAACGCCCTCGTTTTGCGAACTAACGATGTATCTACGCGGTGAGAGTTAAGGCTTTTGATGCTGTTGGTGAGTTGTCCATACTAGACTTGAAATCGATGATATCTCCTAGGAATCTACCTACTATTGATATCTTTTGATAGACCTAATGTCATGCAATTAGATCAGCAGTATCCCAACAGTTACATGACTAGGTAGGCCTTCAGCAAGAACTGAAAAAAAGGTCTTCTGACCAAGTATTTGCCTTATACTCCCTAAACGGCTCCTTGGAACATTCCCCCCCATTAACTTGGAGAAGTTTCCCCCCCATTAACCATGGATTTTTAAGTGATTTTTGGTTCAGCTCCATCGGAACTCCATCGGCTCGCGTTCAGACGCTCAGGAAGACCAAGGAGTATTTGATGAAGATCCGAGGCGCAGTGCGATCCTACTACGTGCCTGGGACATCCGACCAGGATTGTTCGGCTCGCCATGGCTCGCCATCAAAAGGTACATCTTTATGAACTATACCCTCTGGCTATGACTAACAGTTTGATATGGAAAGATCCACCCATTTTTAAGTTCGGTAAACCATCTATTTCGATTAGGGCCATGGCTTCCGTGGCTATGTTAGTCATAACCAGATGGTACATAAATGATATTCACAAGGGGGAACCTTTATTGAACATATTCATGAACATATCATGAACATGTGGTGCTGAAAAACTTGGGGAATATCTCTCTGCTGTTTCCCCTCCATATCTGGCAAAGAGGATATTCAGGACCTTGGACAGTGGATGTCGTGTAAAAAAATCCAGGCCTGGTTGGGCCTGGTTTTTCTGGACGTTGACGTTGCAAGACATCCAAATACCACAGGGTGGGACTCAAACAAAGTAAGTTTGCCTGGAAAAAATGGGCGAACTAGCCGATAGACCTGCTAACCGTGAGAGTCACCAACCCCCCAACATCACCTCCGAAATCAGCCAAGTTCAACATTCCCCAGGACTCCCCCACTTCACCAAATCCCCAAAATCTCCGAAATCAGGGCTTGTGGAACTAGCGGATATCAAACAATGGGGTACACTTACTTAAACCCACAGAGGAATATTCCAACAAGATAGATGACCCGTGGGTGAAAGAAAAACGGAAACCATAAGTTTGCTACACATCCACTTTTATCCTCATCACCCAAAAAACATACCATCTGGTTATTTAACATAGCCATGGAAAATCCCCAAAATAAATGGAGGTTTCGTTCGCTGGGAAAATCATCTATTTCGATTAGGGCCATCTATACCATGGCTATGTTAGTCATAACCAGAGGGTAAAGATCCACGCGCAACTAGCGGACTTTCTCTCGGTTTTCAGATATAAGTCGGTCAATCAGGGCAGCATCGATGATCTCGAGGGCGCTGTGGAGGGCCAGGCGAGAAAATTTGGAGATGGGGATGATACTAGTACCCTCTGGTAATTTAACATAGCTATTGAAATTGACCATTTATAGTGGATTTACCCATTGAAAATGGTGATTTTCCATAGTTATGTTAGTTTACCAGAGGGTATATAATATGTATAGTAACACGCTTATATTACTGGTATTCTATACCATTTTGGGGATATACCATTATATATATATATATACACTATTAATTACTATGAATACATACTATTGTATACTACAATAAGAATAATCATGTTTAGCCCCTGTCAATCTTAAATAAGGCCATGGGAAATCCGAGAAGATCTGGATGAACTAGAATGACCTCACGTCTTTTTACGTCACTGGAATGATGGGAATGACATAAGAGGAATCATCCCCAAATGGCTGCATGATAACAGCGATTTTCAGGTTGGTGAATGATTTTTTTAGCCACTTAAATGTTGAAGTATTGTTCTTGATCAAGTCTAGGGTGATTTTAAAGTTTTGTTTGAGCAATCATTGAATTTTCATTGTTTCTTTCCGACTGTATTACTATGCTTCCAATCTCAGAGAGTTTCATGGTGCCCTCAGAGTCAGCGAAGTTGGTTTAAATGAATCAATGAATCGCTAGTTTTTTTTTTGGTAGTGGTTTGTGGTAAATCATTCTATATTACATATAGAATCATATGGGAGTCGTTCTAAAACCCATGCAAGACTCAGATAGTATCCGAGTGAAATCTGTATGGACGTGTCGAAAGGCCGCCTTTCAGGGGGGCGACAGGGTCGCGAAAGGGCGGCGTAAGGGCAGTTTTGGGGAACCATAATTTTGAAGAACCCCCATACAGATTTACATAGTTATCAATAGTTGATGGTGATTAATTTGGTTGAATAACTATTAATAGCTGTAACAAAATAAATTAATGATGTTAATACTGTTATTTAGTTATTAATCAGTGATTATAGTTTTTCACATCTTTTTTTGTCTTTAAATCCACTTTTTCAGTTGGGAGGTTGCAAAAAATCGTTGGGCCGAATGTCCAAAAAAGGCCAAGGTGGAGCTGAAGGATGTTGCAGAAGCCAAGACGATGTTGGAAAAGTACAACACGATGATCCTTGGCGGGAGACATCCTCAAGGATAGCTGGGATGTAAACCATAGGAAAACCATAGGAAAATGGTGGTTTAATGGGATTTAATGGGATTTAATGGGATTTAATGGCACTTACCCTCTGGTAAACTAACATAACTATTGAAAATCACCATTTTTAATAGGTAAATCAACTATAAATTGGCCATTTTCAATAGCTATGTTAAATTACCAGAGGGTAAACCCCTGTTGGTTGATGATTGGTTCGGAAATTTTATACTACACCATATATTGGGGATGATAATAATCCAATAGGGCATCCCGTTCTTAACCAACCAGGATTAAATGGAATGACAGAGGGGTTTGGAACACTGCTCAAATGAACTAACTTAGACATAGCGAACTGGAAAATGAGCTAACTGATACCTGGGATGTAAAAAAACATCGACAGTTTGCGAACTGGAAAATCACAATGTTTAAGTATTTTTGAGAGCTAAATACCCGGGATGTAAACTAACTAACAGTTTGCAACTGAACAATTCTTAAATATGTTTCTAATAGCTAATTAATTATATCCACTGTATACATGGCAATTGAAAAAATAACTATGTTAAACTACCAGAGAGTATGGCTTCAAGAAAGGGGGCTTTGAAAGGAGGTTTTAATATAGATATTAGTTAAGTTGGAATCCGAATCACTTGGTAAACTAAGGTAGCTATTGGGGTAATATAACAAACTAGTGAGGTTTATAAAGCATTTTTTCACTGGAGGGCTCCTAGTGTTACTAAACCAAAGTGACGTCTTCAATAGGAAAATGATGAACACAACATTGGAATGATGAAAAATCACCTCAGATCCGGAAGCTATACAACATCAACCATCAACCAAGCATCATTTATGCATGACATCAACATGTATCAAATATATGCAATTTTTTTGTTGCTAACCCCCTATCGTTAGCGATTACAAGCTGGGGGACTCCAACTTGCAGCACCAAAAAATCCTACCAGCCTACATCCCTTACAGCTCTCTTTGTTTGAGAGCTGATCTGAAGAAAAACTCTGTGAGCCATGATCAAACCATGCCAACATCTGGTTCTTTTGTCCCCACGACTGGGGACACCCATTTGGTCATCTGTGGGATGACCAAGGCCCCCCAGCTGTATCATGTTGGTGAACAAAAACCATGACATCCCATGGTTTTTTCGCCAAAAAGCCATCAACAAAAATGGAGCAAGGCCCCAAGGCATAGCCAAGGCTTGGATGGCGATTCACCATCCAGCGTTTTTGGGCTTTCCCCCATGACTTGGGAAACCTCCATATCCCACCCCCTTCAACTCCCTGCAACCTGACGGCCTGACGCCGTGGAACCATCAGGATTAGCTCCTTCCGGAACTTGCACGCCTATGATGCGGAAGTCTACACGAAGGTCACTCCAGCCATCAAGGACCATGGGCTCTGGTGATTATGGCACCTGCCATATGGCTTTGTCTGAAAATGCTACCCCCGCCCCAAGAAATACTTCAAAAAATTGCAATTTCAACGGGATCATCAATGATTCGCTGATTTGGGATGTTTTTTTTGGGGGTACCATCTTTTCAGATAAACCTATATTAATGGGTGTGTATCATATATTAGGGACATCAGAATTCAGAAAAATCCACCACAATGATATTTAATCGGGACAATCATTAATATGACCCAATATCATATTTACCATGATACCATATATGACTGATGACATATATCATATTTAGCACTGATTTGAAACTATATACCACCACATAATATTCATTATTCAAATGATACGGTGGGTGGTTGCGAAATCCTGCACCACCAACCGGATGGTTGAAATCCCAACAAAATAATGGGATGATAAGCAACCATCCACAGTATTTTCCATATTTTTGGCCATATTTTGAGGGTATATCCCCTGAAAAATAGCCCTGACAAATAGGCCCAAAACATATGGTAGGTACCTCCAATTTGGGTTCCTGGAATGGCCATTGATTTTCTATCTGGTTGGTGGTTTGGAACATATTTTTTTTTCCATAATATATGGGGATGTCATCATCCCAACTGACGAGCTCCATCATTTTTCAGAGGTGTAGGTATACCACCAACCAGCCATTGGTTTTCTATGATTTACCCTCTGGTAAACTAACATAACTATGGACAATGGCCATTTGTGGTGAGTGTTCCCATCAAAAATGGTGATTGTCCATGGTTTTTGGTATGTTTACCAGAGGGTACCATCATGACTAGCCGCTAATTATCAAGCCACGTAGCCACGCAGCGTGGAGGAAGTGAAGGAGAACGCTTTCGCCCAGATTCGCCACTGGGCCGAGTGATGTTTTGGAATCCCCGAAAAGAGAGAGGAGTGAATAAATGTTCACTTTTTCAAGTCGGATTTTACTTTTCTATGTTGGGGGTTGCTACATATGTTTTTTTTGGTGTGTATGTATATTGGTGAAGGATCTTTTCCATATGTTTCTTGGGTTAGGGTTAGAAAAATAGGTATGTCCAGAATCTGTTGAGTCTGCTCATATACACGATGTGGTTTTTCCCCAAGTTTTTTTTAGTGGATCTCAACTCCCCATCTATGGATATATCTACCACTTAAAACCACAGTTCACCACTTGGTGAACTAAAGCAACTCAGCTAAAAACCCGGATCACTACCTTGTACTTTCATACGTGTACATAATTGTGTACATGAGATATCATGAGAATTCATGAGATATATGCACATCATTGAACATATACAACATGCATATTATGATCTATAGATAGATCTCTCCCAAACTGGGCACTTGTGCACATCCCAAGAAATCAAACAGCCGTGACCAGGACGGCACCAGAGATTTTGGGTTACTGTGCCCAGAAATATGGGGAGATTCAATGGTTTGCCTGCGGGAAAATCTGGTAGAAAATCACGGAAGCCCCGCAAGAAGTAATCCATTGAATGATCAATGATGGATGAGGTATGATCAATGATGGATCAATGATGGATCAATGATGATGATGATGATGATGATGGATGATCAATGCGGGAAAATATGCGGATATTCAATTGGATCATTGATAATCCAATGAGATATGGTCGATGATGGATGATGATCAACGGTGGATGATGACACTATTGGGCTTACATTGCTAAATACATCTAAATAGCCCGAAGAAAAATATCGAACAACTTGGTTTAGCACTGGATCTTTTTGGTGGGTCCCAGGGTCCCAGGGTAGACCGAATTCCACGAACAACTGGGATGATGCTGTCTACCCACAGCCCGAAAATGGTGGTGGTGGGGTTCATAATCCCACCACTGCCAATAGTCGTCTTTGGATATCTGTGGATCTTTATCCTACACATATGCAACCTATGGTGCTGGAATATGCACACCAACATGACTAGCCCATATACTATACATGGAGCATATGGGGTATGAACAGTGGATTCTCCAATATTGATCAATATTCTCCAGGGGTTGGTAAATGTCCCAATTGAACATCACCCAAGTATTGATATAATTTCCAGCAGATATTTGAAGGTGATATTCAAAATCCCCAAAAGGGACATTTACCAACCCCTGTTCTCCAATCATCATCCAGATCTTTTGGACTTTCTATGCATTTCTATGCTACCTGACTACCTGAAGCCCATAATTTTTCCCCAAATTTTGCGGAGCTCAGGTTTCATCTGTGACATGATGGGCATCAAAACCAGCAAGGCGCCAAAACACAAAAACTCCACTGCAGTGGAGTTTAAGACTGAGGGGACCACAGATTTTAGATGGTTTTAGTATGTTTTTAGTCTTAACCAATTATTGGGATACCCAATTTTGACCCATACACCCGTATCAGAGATCTTTAGGTAAAAGATAGTTAATATGAATCAAACAAGATCTAGGGTCCTAGGTTGAGGGTTGAACATGGACCAATGATTTCATCAAGAGATGTGAGAATTAGAATTCGATACCCTCTGGTTATGACATACAAAAAACTATGGAAAATCACCTTTTCTAGTGGGAAAACTCACTATTTCTATGGCCATTTTCAATAGCTATGTTAGTTTACCAGAGGGTACACGTGGATAAAACAGTAGAGTTGTGTTTTCGATGTTCTTCTAGACGTTTCTTGGATTGGTATGTTTGCACCATTTTTTGTTCTCAATTTTTTAGAATTCCATCCCCCAATCAGGGTGTATTTCGAAGGGGAAAGAGACTACTTGATATTCCGCTGTTTGAAAAAAAGCTTGGCCATGGCCAGAATCAATAATGCCTGGTGGAGGGCTATTCAATCTTGGGGGAATGGGACTAAGATGGACTAAGTATATTTTTCACTCCGGAACCATCACTGGCGTTCCAGTTTCACATTTTTTAGACATGCCAATGGCATTTCGAGCCTCTGAAAAGTTCATATTTCATGTTGGGATACCCTCAACCTGAATTGTTCCTTACCTGAGTTTTTGTTTTTAAATGTTTTTTCCCCTTCAACTCTCCATCTCCGACTCATCTCCAAAAACACACCTGGCCCCTTGCGGGGCCTTCAGGATGCGCATTGCCTCTCCGACCTCTGGGGAACGCTGGGAATGACCAAGTTGGAGTTCCCTTCCGACTGAGCCGCGTCGGATCGATGATTCGACCGATGAAGGACCGAGCGCTGCGATGCGCTACGCGTAGCTGGCGTCATAGAGAAAAGGGGGGGCGCCTTTTTGTGGCATCGGTGATGGCATGGGGGATGGTCAAATGAACCCTCTGGTAAACTATAGAATAACTATTGAAAATCACCATTGTTCATGGGAAAATTCACTATTTCTATGGTGATTTTCCATAGTTATGTTAAATTACCAGAGGGTACCTTTCAACGACAAAGCCATCTACTGTACAGGTGGTATTTCCAGTGCTATCTTGATTTGTCACAAGGCTTTGAAGTTGGGAAGCCCAGAGATAAAGAAATGGGATCTGTGCGTGTCACCTTGCTACAAACTCCAAGATACTCCAAGCCCACGAATCGTGGACAGCCTCAACCGACCATGTTGGTGGATATCACATGATATCACATTTGCATCGAAACCTTCTGGCTTTTACAATTAGTTGCTTGATAGGTTTCGCATCATAATCCCCGGTAAACCAGGAAGTATAATCCCCTATACCATCTGTTTATTTGACATAGCCATGGAAAATCACCATTTTTAATAGGTAAAATTAGGTAAACCATCTATTTCTATGGGCCATCTATACCATGGCTATGTTAATCATAACCAGAGGGTAGCTATTTTTTCCATGGCTCTTTACACCTGGACGATGCCGTTCTCCGCAGGCGCCCGAGCCGGAGGAGCAGCGAAAGAAGGGACGGACGCTGGGAGCAGCGGAGCCGCTTGGACCCAACGGACCCAACGGGGGATGGTCATTCTCCACGGGATGGAGTTTCCAAAGTTTCATGGGTTTTTAATATTTTTTAATGGTGATTTTAGTGGGGATTTCTTCATCCACTTTTTATATCTTTTTATGGGATATACCAATATACCCTCTGGTGATGTCAAAATAGCTACTGGAAATGACCATAGAAATCGTGGATTTTCCCATGAAACATGGTGATTTTCCATAGTTATGTGGCTGTTTACCAGAGGGTAGTTTGAGACACCCCCATATTTTTTTAAAGGACAGGTACGGTATAATTATTCAACACAGCTATTGGACATCCGTCATCTTGATAGGTAAATGATGGTTACAGTAATACAGGTACATCATCCAAAAATGGACCATTTTCCATAGGAAAAAAGGCGTTGCATCCATGGCTCAAACAAATGCAATACATTATGACATGATATACCTGTATCTAGGGAAATGGCTAGTTACAGTTACATACATCTAGGTCTATGGTTTGCGCGTTTTCAGAAAGGCCTGTGTCAGCCACACACAAAACCTAGCAACAAACAACTTTAAAAATCAACAATGTTCTTTTGAAACAACTTTCTTCTTTTGAAACTTCTTTTAATAGTACCCGAAAGTTTAACAACAACTTTTGAAAACAACTTTTTGTTTAAAAACAACTTTTGGAAAGTTTCTGAAAACAACTTTTTGTTTAAAAACAACTTTTGGAAAGTTTCTGAAAACAACTTTTTGTTTAAAAACAACTTTAAGAAAATTGTTAAAACATTTACTTTTATTTCAAAACAACTTGTAGAAAGTTGTTAAAAACTATTTTTTGGTTAAAACACTTTTCTAAATTTGTTCATTTTTCGCATCCGAAACAATGACAAAACACAAATCACAATGTATTTCTGAACAAACGTTCAAGTTCATATGAAGCAGCCCTTCAAAACAAGCCTGTAACATGCACACCAAAAACAAACAACACATTGCAACATGCTGTAATAAAGTATGTTTCACAAAAATGTTTGGACCATGATTAATCGCAGTAAGTACACTGTTGGCATGTGCAGCGGAGCGGGTACATGGACTGGCCAGCTTGTAGCATGGCAGAATCTCTCTTAGCTGGGCGTTCTTCACTGCAGGGCTCAAGTTTCAACTTAGTTTTGGTTTTTGCATGGCAGCCTTGGGGCTGGATCAAGTCTTGAATTTGGCCCAGCAGTTTGGCGCCAGAGATGCGTTGGAGCCAAGAGCACCAGCCGTAGCAGTCGCCAGGGGGGGGGTCGCAGACCAGGTGGTGGAGGCCTGGGGCGGCACAACCGAGCCCGAGGTGCGGAGGCTAGACAAAGAGGGGCTCGCTGGGCAAGGAAGCAGAAACAACTTGTTTTGCAGAGCAAGTGCTTCAACAAGACCGGCCATGCCCGAACAGCAGATCATCGGCTACCAAGCCAACAAGACTTGAGTCGGCAGAGTGTGGCAGGCAAAGGGAAATGGAAGACTTGGACTCCAGAAGCGATCTTGCGCGCAGGCTTTGGGCAGGAAACTGCAACTTATAGGCAGATAGCAAACGAAGTGGAGGGTGCTTCCTCCAGCCAGTCAAGGGCCGCTAGATTTGCGTGCGCTGCCGCAGTGTGCAAGTCTCAGGCAGAGAGCTGTGAGAAAGTGTTTGCAGAGGCTTCAGAGGAACCCCTCAGATTCTTCATTCAAAATTTGATGTTTGACGAGTCAACCTTTGACCTGAGAGTCGGCAAGGATGCCGCCAACAGTTGCCCTGTTCTGTGCTCGCACTCTCAATGGACAATGGGCTTTGCCCCCTCTTTGGAAAGCGCCAGGGACGCCGTCCGGGATGAGCACATCGTGCGGTCTCCGCAAGTCTTGGCCCCGATGAATTCTGCAACTATGTGGAAGACTTTATCCTGTCATCCAGGGAGTATTGGAGCTTGCGAAGTGGCCGCTGACCATGTGTGCACCCTTACCACATGCGATTCTTATGCGGCGAACTTAAAAATGTTGAAGCATTTGGACACAGTCCTCCCATCAGACCACTACTTCCTTCCAATGTTGTGCACTCAGCACCGGAACGGAAACGTTCTGGAGCAGTTGACTCATTTGCTTGGAAATCTGGGCCGCTGTTTTTGCGTTTCCCGAGTTTTGAATTCGAGGCACGCAGTGCAAGCGCTCCGCAAGAGAACGGCCGCAGGCCTGGAACAGCATCTGGCGGTGCTCCAGGCTGAGCCTGCAGGTGTTCAAACTGAATGGGAGGAAGCGCGGTCGCTGACCAGGAGTTTCCTGAAGCTCGAAGCCAGTTCGAAAGAGGCGAAGGAGTCCGAGGTGGAGATTGCAGAGCCTGCTGCTGATGAACTTCCACCTGGTTATTCTCGCCTCTTGGGCTTCTTCAATGGCCCTTGGACAGGACCAGGGTGGGGGGTTGTCAGCGCTGTTGGTTTCTGTCAGTTTGCGCAGCTTGGGTCGGTGTGCGCCTGTTGTTGTCGTTGTCGTTGTTGTTGTCGTTGTCGCCTGGACCAACCTGACAGATTTGTTGAACATCCTACAAGACCCTGCCAAGCGTTTGTCACTGTTGGTTTGGAGGTTTGGGCCGCTGGCCGGGTGGCCACAAGCAAGGAGAAGAATTGTGAGAAAGAGCATCATGGTCATGGCAGGCCAACTTGCGAGAAAATTGATTTTGCCATGGCAGCAGTATCCTTGGTGTTTATGGCCGCTGGCCTTGAAAGACGCAAGCCAAGAAGACCGCAGGTCATGTGCTAAAGCTTTACTCAGCAGTAAGCCTTGCTGTCTGGACAGCGGTTTTTCACAGCGGCTCAAGCGCATACACCGCACAGAAGAAGAACTCTTGAACTCGCAGCTCCAAGTCTTTTTGCAAAAAGTTTTCGAACGTGTTGTGCCAACATCAACTTTCATTGAGCGGCGGTTCGCCCAGTTTGCCCATTGGAGCGACCAGCAGCCCAAGCTTGGCACTTTGGCAGCCAAGCACGTGACTAGTTTCTGCAAGGGCGCTGCCCAGGCTTGGAAGCAAAACCACCCGCAGCACCAGAAGCGAAAGCATTTGTCTCGTCCTGGCTGGGTAGAACAAAAGCAAGGAAGCCGAACCACAGGATACAATGTATTTCTGTCTGAGTTCAGGAAGAACGATTCAGCGCAGCAAGTGGCTGGAGATGAAGGGAGGCAAACCTTTGTTCAAGAGGCTACAGCTGCTTGGAGAAGACTTTCTCCCGGAGAGAAAGCGCCTTACAGTTTCAAGGCGCGTGGGCTGAACAGTCTGCGCAGCAGAAGCTCCCAGATGTCAGACAACGAGGCTGGCCCTGAAGGCCGAGAGACTGGCGGCTTGTGGAACACATGCCTGCTGCAAGATAGATGGCCGCTCCGAGTTGATCTTTTGGAAGCTGCCATGGGGGAAGGGATTGCGGCTTTACGAAAGATCTCATCGGCTTGGGAAGAGGCCAGGTCAACAGAGCCATCATCCACCATCAATTTTTCTATATTCAATCATCATCAATCATCACTACCGCAACATCAGAAAGACAGGCCATAGTCATAGTCATAGTCATACTACTGTCTGTTTGCTTTGCCACTCCAACCCAGATATTTTTGGCTGGCATTGTTCATTTGGAGGAGCATGCAATGCTGGTGGAGGCGGAAGATGATCTGCCAGATGTGAGTGATAACTTGTTTGCTGTGTGCCCGCATGGTGGATGTGATGAGGAGCTGCAGGCAGCGCAGCGTCCAGTCTTTCGGGAAATCCACGATGACTTGGTCACTGCTGTCCGGGTGATTGAGCCTTTGAAGCGGGACTTGTCTGCTCACCCTTTGGTTTTGGAATGGCACTCATTGTCATTGCAGAAGAGAAGGTTTGTTGTGGTCGCTTTTCACATCCGCAAGCCTCCTTGGGACATGGTCCTTGTTGAGCTGGAGGAAGCCGGGGACTCTGAAGAGCTTCCTTTTTGCTTGGCAGTGCAGCTGGGCAGGCAATCCATTCATTCTGACATTGCATTTTGCCATGAGCTTGCCCGAGCCGCGTCTGACTGGGTCTTGTTTCGCTTGTCCATTGGAGATCTGACCGTGGACTATGGCATTTTCCAAGCCGCAGAGCGCAAGGAACTGAGCCGATCCGAGTTGAGACAAGCTGCTGCTGAAATGAAGCAAGTTATGCTCGCAGCAAAAGCAGCCAAGCTTGCCCAAGGTTTGACCGCAAATAAAAAAAGGAAAAGCAGAAACTCCAACAAACGAAAAAGCAAAGGCAAGCGGTCGCAGACCCTGGCTCCAGATGTTTCGGACATGGAGTGGAATTCTGCCTCTGAAAGCGGGGGCTCCGCTTTGGGCAGACACCGGCAGTGTTGCAGCGCCTGCTTCTTCGTCCGCTGGACCGGCTCGCAGGGGCTCAGCTTCAGACTTTGCGGCAGACACCAGCAGTGTTGCAGCGCCTGCTTCTTCGTCCGCTGGACCGGCTCGCTCTAAGCGTGTCAAGCAGTCTCGGTCCATTCCCTGGGGTCCATTCCAAATCGCGCCGATTGTTCCGGCCGCTGGCCACAGTGGTTGGAGAGCCATCTGCGGACAGCATTGCGACCGAGGAAACAGTTTGTCTTGCAAGAAAGCTATGAACCGTGGGTCGCTGACCGATGCGGAATGCGTCTTGCGTTTGAAGAGGTGGCTCTTGGCAGGCCATTCAGACCAGAACTGGCCAGTTCACAGGCGACGGTCGCACCATGTAGAGCTGGGTGGCAAAGGTCTGCAAGATTTCGCACAGGGAATGTCTGAGGAAGCTATGGATGCTTTGGTCGCTTCCTGGGCTTGAAGTTCTTTGAGTCATTTGACCGCACTTTCGTTCACCGTTCAAGTTTTCGCAGCCAATGCTTGTCACAAATTGTTTCCAGAGACATTTTACTATTTTTACAGATGCTTAACGTATGTGTATGTTTGTCTATTTATGGAAACACAAATGCAATTATATCAAAAAAAGTTAAGAACATTTCAAAAGAAGTTTCAATTTCACCGAGAAAGTTTCTGAATAAAGTTTCGTAGAGAAATCGATTGTTTCGTAGAGATTTCCTTTTGTGTTTATATTGAAAGCGTAGAGAAACCAAGTTGTTTCGTAGAGAAAATTCGGTGGAAACTTCTTTTGGAAATTGGCAACTTCTTTTTGAAACTTTTCATCATATATCATATATTCTTTTAATTTTGCGGTAGTTACCAATAGATGCTTCCATGCAAACAAGAAGAGCCAAGCCATGCTCTCAGTTGATCGCCAAAAGCGCAAAACAACCAGGAGCTGGAGCGCAAAGCAGAGCCGGACGCTGGTTCCTGTGAAAAAGTGCGCTGGCTGCAGGGTTTTGAACCTTGGACTGCCTGCTTGGTGTCAGCGCTGGCGGTGTTTTGCTCTGCTGTGGCCCGAGTTTGTTGTCCTGAAAAGGGTTGTCGAGGGTAAGTGCTGTCAGGCAGCTTGTTTTCCAGCAGGGCTTTTGGTTCAAACCTGAGCAGTTGTTCTTTACTGCGCGTCGCCGTCATGGAGGATGACCTAGTCTCCCAAGCAGCTTCCAGTGTTGGGCCCGTGGTGCTGGCTACTTTGGCAGTGTGTTTTACCCTGAGTAAGGCTTGTGTGTGCTGCCTTTGCAATGCCAAAAGCACTGACCCTTCTCCCTTGGTGGGAGGAGAGGAAGATGACCAGTATGGAGGCCGCCGGCCCTGGAACAAGTACCGTAAAGTGCGCCACCCTGGGTCGGACGAGCAGGTCAAAGTCCCAGAAGGGAAACTGTGCATGATTTGCTTCAGCACCTTCAGAGCGCTGGGTCTGAACTACAAGTATCCATCGTATGGTGCGTACTACAAAGAGATCGTCAATGACAACAGCAAGCATACCAGCTTCATAAACTCTATGAAAGAATGGATTAAGCAAAGAAATGAGGATCCCACTGGGCGAATGGACAGGGAAGCAGTGAAGAAGGCCCACACCACTCTGCACAGTGAGACCAAGACTGGTGTCAAACTCAAGGGTCCCAAGAGGGAGTTCGTACTCCGGGAACATTGGGACCCCAAGCTGGACGGTGAGCTGGACGAAGCACACATAGTGGAAGAAACTTGGCAAGGGAAGAAGGTGAAAGGAATCTGGAAGGCCAAAGGGCGTGCCGGTGTGCTGGAAGCTTCCCAGTATGAAGACACCAGTTTGGCTGAGCGCACTGAGGAGCACAGTGGATCCGGCCCGTTCGCTCAGCAAGTGACCAAAAAAACTGCGTTGCAGAAGGTGTTTGCGGATGCCGACGAAGAGAGGCAAAAGCACACAGTGGCCGCAGGCCCTGCATCACAGGCAGGCGATGTTCTGGCAACTTTGCAGAAAATGCTGCCAAACTTGAAACTTGCTGGTGGTGGGCAGGCCCTGAGCGCAGACCCAGAAGCAGATGAGGCTAGCCCTTCTGCACTTGTTGACTTGCACAAGGACGAGGACGAACATGAAGCAGGAGAAGAGGAGGAGGTTTGCAGCTCGTTGGCGCACTTCGGCCATGCCGGGCGAGCGGCGCGTGCTGCGAGCGCGGCCCACTTGGATGGGCTGTGCCTTTGCTAGTGGGTTAAGAGGTTTAAGATGTTTAGCTAACCTATAGCTAAGTCCTTATAAGTGTAAGTTGCAAAGCGCCATTCTGTCGACTCAGAACATGGTTTTGCTGAAAACTTTTCAAAAGTTTGAAAGAAAAAATGTACCAATTTTTCTTGAATTTTTCAAAGATTTTTCTACAAAAGCAAATGAAGTTGAGCAGATGGCTGGTGTCCAAGATTTGCAAAAGAATTCCAAGAAGAAAAATTTTAGTTTCTCCTTTTCCATTCCCAAATTGTATGTTTCTTTTCTGTGCCTTTTTTGAAAAACAAATTTATTAAAAAACATCGCCAATTTTCTGCCAATCTTGGAGGAAAACCACTTAGATTGGAGTATACAAAGTCATTGCAGCCTTGCTGGTACCATTGAGACACAAAGCCAGGGTAAGCCAGAATGAAACAACATTGAATATTTGTGCCCACTCCAAAGCCACCAAAGGCTTGCAAGCTCAATGTTTTTGAAAAAGCCATGAAGGCTTGAAATGCAGCCATGAAAGGCTTCAAATCCAGCCATGAAAGCCTTGAAGTCCAGCCATGAAAGGCTTGCAGTCCAGCCATTAAGGCTTTGAACAGCAGCCATTGCAGGCTTATAGTTCCCAGCAAAAAGCAATCTAAAGGCTTGGCACCACAGCCATGTCAATTCTGACACCAATGCATTTTTTCACCTCAAGTGGAAAGGAATCAATGTTAAGACTCCTGCTTTACAATGGCTGTATGTAACAGCTGTCAACAATTCAGAAGCTGCCACACACAGCCAATGGCCAGCCTCCTGCCACAGTGCATGGCCATTTTTGGAATCCACCAAATTGAGCATTTCTACAATGGACCATGCCTCATTGCCAATGGCAAAGTTAAGCAGCACCTTGGCTGCAGCCAGCTGGCCTTTCTTCTCACTGGCAAGCAGCACAACATCATTCACTGCTGCCACAGTGCCATTCTTCAGAACCAAAGTCTTGCAGCTTGCAATGTTGGTGCTGATGCCCAAATTGGCTTCCAGCCACGCCACCACTTTCTTGGGTGCTTTTGCATTCAATTCCAGTGCAGCTTCGATCCCAAAGGGCTTTTGAGCCAATTGGTGCAAACAATGCCCCAACACTTCCACCAGCAGACCCTGCTCAAAGTTCTTCAAATTTTGGACCCTAGTGGCCACCAAGGTCACATCCTTGTGTTTCCTCTCCATTGTCCAGCAAGGAAGCAGCAATCCATGTTCCTCCAACTCATCACCATAATGCAAAAGCCAATGGAATTTTTTGATGCAATGGTCTGAATACCCAGCTGTTTTGTAAGCTACCAAAACTTTGGAGGCAGCATTGTCAAGCATGGGGCCAGTCACACACCCCATTGGTGTTGCCACCAGCAAATCCATCATGTGACAAAGCTTCAAGAAAGCATCAGTTGCAGGACAAGCTCCACCTTGAGATTCGATCTTTTCCACATAGTGCTGCAAAATGGGGTACAAGCACAGCATTTCACTTGCAGTTGCTTTCACTTTGTTGGCATTTCTGTGTGAATCCACTTTGCCAGTTGTAAACAAAGAAGACAAAGCACCCACTTTATGCAAAGCTGATGGTAAGCACCACAAATCCAAATAGTTCGACATTGCATGCCAAGCTGGAAGGCCTTCAGATTGCAAATGCTCCAACAGCAAGCACATGCCAATGTTCAAAGTGCCATTGGACACCATGCCATGCATGTAGTCATGCATATATTGTGTGCAAGGTTTCAGCCAAGGCCTCAAGCTTGGAGAAGATAGTAAAGCTTCTTCAGAGAAAGTCCAGCCAGTGCATTGCTCCCAAACTTGAAACTCTTTTTTGGAGCACACATTTTTCCTGTGTGCCATTCTGTCCCAACTTGCCAAAGCTTCATCATCAGTTGCTAGGACCAATTCAGTTTTGGAAATTGTTCTGAGAACTGCTTTCTCTGCATCTTCTTCCCCTTCATGCAAAAAGACAATTTGATTGCAACATTTCAGACAGAAATTGCTGCCACTGTCCCCTTTGAGTCCAAAAGTGACTTTTTGAGAGGCACCGTCTTGAACAAAAAAACCTAGTTTGTAAAACAGTCTGCACTCCTGATTGCTGGGGCCATGTAGAAGTACACCAACCAAAGGTGATGCCACTGCACTGCAAAAGATTTGTTCCATCACTGCTCTCATCACTTGTGACATTCCACCTTCCAAAGTTGCCACAATGCTGGTCCTGATGATGCCAAGCACAAGCCAATTTTGTGTGTGACTCAGAGCTGCCCTGCCCAGTTGCTTGATGGAACAATACACAACCCAGACTTTTTTGTTGGCCCTCCCCAAAGCATTTGCAGGAAGGCATTCATCAGAATACAAAATGAGGTCAAATTCATTGCCAGGCCCATTTCCCAAAGAAGTAATGGCTGTAGCCAGGGAGTTGTAGAAGGAACCATTGATGCTGTAGCAAGCACTCAGCAAAGAATGAAAATTGACCAAAGGGATGGCCACCACATTGGAAGTCTTTGCTGTACAGTAAAGGGCCATAAGCATGATATTGGTCAAGGTATCTTTGTGCAGCCTCTGTCATTTGCTTCCTGCCTGCCATCTCTGGCAGCCCATATTCAGCAATGTGTTTGACAATGGCTTCCAAAGAAGATTTTGAACAGTTGGGCACTGATCTTCTTAGAAGATTCAGTTTTTGTAGCTTTGCAGCTCTTTCTGCCATGGCTGCAAGTGGTAGAAACAATTCTGTAACTATCTTATGTCACATTGGAAATTCTGTGAGGTTATGTCTTTGGTAAGAAGTTAGAAGAAACATTTGATTGGGGATGCAGGTAGTGCCTAGGGCCATGAAAATTGAACACTGAACCAAAAAGCCTTGGGCCATCCAATGCTTTTGTGGTTGGCACTCAAAGCTGGGAACTAGCCATGCAAGGCTTCCTATTGCTTGCCAGTACTCAACAACCAGCCACTGAAGGGCTAACAGTTTTTGTCACAATGATTTGCACAAGCCACCAGGGCTAACCAAAGCCACAAGGGCTTGAATAAGCCACAAGGGCTGGTCATAGCCACTTGGGCTAGCCCTCAACAACAACAGCCACCAAAAATTGCTAACTATGTAACTATGCTGCAACAGAAAGCTATTCTTTTCAAGCCAAGCTTGAAGCAAATCTCCCACCAGGCACACAGCCACCAATGTTGGGCACTGGGGCCTTTGCCAACAGATCCCAGCCAAGAGGTACATTTCAGCACCTATTGAACCCCAGAAAACTTTCACAGCACACTCACTTCCAGCCTTTTTTGGCTGCCATATCATTCCACTCATGCCTTCCATTGAATCTCTGTCCCTTGAAGCCTGGGCTTCGACACTTTTCACACCCTTTGGGGTTTCCCCTGCACCTGCAGCAGCCAAAGACTTTGGGAGTGCTAGCATTGTCCTTCTTCACAGTCTTCTTCTTCTCCTGGCCATTGCTGCAAGAAGCTGAAGATGCTGCTGGTCTCTTCATCACTTTGCGAGTTTTCTTGCTACTGAGAGCATCATGGGCCATTTGTTCAAAGTCTTCCAACCCAGGCTTATCATTCACCTGGTGTGGTGCACATGGAAGTGGAGGAGCATTGGGCAATGCCAAGGGCTGAGCAGCACTTGCAGGGGAAGGTACATCCTGCAATGCCAGTCTGGTGCCACCACTGCCACCAGCTTTTTGCTTCAGTTCTGCTTTCTCCTTGTCTTCATTGTACTGGTCAATGAACTTCTCCATCTTCTCCTGAAAGCCACCATCTGCCAGTGCAGCCTGTGGAGCAGGTGCACTCCTCTGGGGTTTTGGGATGCCAGTCAACAAGTTGGAAGTGCTCCTCAAGGGAATCTTGGGGTAGATGGCTGCCAATGAAACATTCATCAAAGCAGGCTGCTCAATGCCATAAGCCTTCTCCTTGAAAGCAGCAGTGAGCTGACTGGGGGAGAGTGGGTACACCTTGAGGCCAGGGAGGTCATTGTTAGCACAGTGACCAAAGGTTTTGGTTAAGTCTTGGACCATCCAGTAGATTGCCCATGGGCTTGGCATTGGCTGGTGCTGCAGATTCACTAACACATGCAGCAGGACTCCCATGGCACTCCTTTTGGTGTCCTCTTTCATTGACCTCATCCCAAGGCTTTTGAGTCTTTCACAAATGACCCTCTGCCCATCCACATTGCTGCCTTGCTCCAAAGCCAACCAATCATTGCTGGTCAGGTAAGGTGGCAGGTTGTGCAAACTTTGGGGCCTTTGGGAAAGTTGCAAACCACTTTGGCCAGAAGCACTGAGGGCATCCATCTCATTCATCACATCATCCTTCAAACTCTCAGGCAAATTGGCTTCAGTGACTTTCTCATACAAGCCAGACAAAGCACTGGGTGTCCAAGAGGTCACTCCATGCAGCCTTTGCTTCAAAGTTTCCAAAGCAGCTTTGCCAACTTGGGACCCAGGCCTGGCTTCCAGCAATTTGGAGACATGTTCCAATTCATTGCAAAAATCTTCTGTAGACCATTGGTGGCTCATGATGGGCCAGTGTGAAAGTGTGTATATGGTGAAACAAGGAGTGCTATGAACCCAAGGCTGCAAAGTCCTGGGTGAAATGCTGAAATAACAAAATACCACCAAAGCTCTCAATCTGACTTATAGCCACACTTGGGCTTCCACTTTGGTTTTGAGCCACTGGGGCTGGAGTATAGCCATTGAAAGGCTTGCCACACAGAATGCACCAATACAGCCATCTAGGCTTCAACAGTACCTTCTAGCCATCAAAGGCTGGGTCATCCAAAGGCAAGCACAGCTCACAACATTGTTTTGAAACTGCAGACATGCAAGTTGCACAAATACACAAACTGAATTTGTTTGCACATGCCCAAGCAAATCAATTGGGCAAGGATTGCATTAAAGAATTTGTAATTTCTGTGTAGTATGTGACACACACTTCACAATCACAAAGCAGTGGGTGCTGTGCATCAGAATCCCAATCAGGGATAGAAGGTGGCTCCAGTCTCACTTGCCAATAGATCTCTTCCCAGCTAGTAGTGGTGCCACTGGGGTGGACAACTGTTTCCTCAGGAACATGTTCAAGAGCAGATGTGTTGTTGCTACTGCTTTGGCTGCCTGGGTCTTCTTCAGCAGGAATAGGCAAAATTGGCAAGACCATTGCAAATCAGCACTGGGCACCTCACTTTCCAGACCAAAAACTTGCAGGTGAAATTGAAGCATGTTGGGTTTGCAAAAAAAAAATGCAACTTACACAAAATATGCTGTGGATAGCTGTGAGTTTCTTGTATACTTTTGTGTGTGCAATAATTTGTAACCATATCTTGAACAATGTTTTTGTGAAAGTGGTTTATTTGGAAATATTATAGGATACAATGCTTTTGGAAACTATCATTGCATTGGGCCTGCAAGTGCTACCTAGCCATGAATAACAAAACACTCAAGCAAAGACAGCTTTGTTCAACAAATAGCCCCATGTGGCTTGGGAGCCCATTGTGCATTGACATTTGTGCCCCAAAAGAAAGCTTGAGTTTGGGTTGTACAAGTGAGCAACCATTACAGCTACTCACACCACAAACCATAGCCATAGCCATTAAGAGGCTCAGCAAAACCATACAAGTTAAACATAGCCATAAAGGCTGAACATAGCCATAATAGCTGGACATAGCCATAAAGGCTAAACATAGCCAAAAAGGTTAAACATAGGCTGTGGGGCTCAACACAGGCTATGTAAGCCACTAGGGCTAAACAAAAGCCACCAAGGGCTAACTACAGCCACTAGGCTAAACAAAAGCCACCCAGGGCTAGCTACAGCCACTAGGGCTAAACAAAAGCCACCAAGGGCTACCTACAGCCACTAAGGCTAATAAAGCCACCAGGGCTAAGCAGCCACTTTGGGCTCAACCATTTGCAAGTCAGCCTCCCCTCCCCAAAGAAAAGCCACTAGGGCTAAAAAACAAGCACTGCTAAACAACTTTTACCACTGCAGCCACACAGGCTTCATACCTCTTACAACCCATTGGGTTATGGCATGTGCCTTTGCTGCTCACCTACCATGATGCTTTTTTTGAACCATTTCTAAAACAGTTTCAGTTCACCCTCAGTACCTTTCAAGTTGAATGAATTACCTTTTTCAATTTCATTTCCATCATTTTGCATCATGATAGGTTCTTTTCCAGTCAGTGCCTTGGTTCTTGTCCAGCTCATCATTGATTATCACCAGCAGTTTTGCCATTGCAGGGTGGGCATTGTACCTGAGTGGAATTGATGGGTTTATCACAAAAAAAGAAATACCTTACACTCCAAAAAACAAAAAATGTTGTTGATAGCTTCCCAGTTGCTGTTTCTGGAGTTCTTTCACTTTGTCCCTTTCACCGCGGTTCAATCTGGCCAGCAGGATGCCACACCTATTCATCCATCCACTCCTGTGGCCTTCTTCCCTTTTCACTGCCACATTGGAATACCATTTCTGTTCCTCCTTGGCATTTTCTTCCTCCTTGACATTTTCAGTCTCATCATTGGCAGAACCAGAACCACTGCCACTTGCTGTTTTGCTAGCATTTCCATCATAGGTCTTCAGTTTCTTGGCAGTTACTGGTTGTGGCAATCCCCTTTTCTTCTTCTCAGCATTGATTGCATCGACAATCTTCTTCCTGGTAACTGTGTTTGATCAGAACCCACACCAAAATAAGCAAACATGTTGCCAAACCAAAAGAAAACAAAAACAAAAAGCAAAATCAATACTATTTATAGCCAAGGCACTCCATCTCAGTGGCTGTGGTGCTCATTGTAAGGCAGCCATCCTTGCTGAGTTTTCCAGCTTCACTTTCACTTCCTCTTGTAGTTGTTGCAGATGGGTGTCAGTCTCATTGTCATTGTCCACCTCCAGTTCCACCATTTCCATCTCTTCTGGTTCATGCAATGGTTCCACCACTGAAGCTGGGCTGGGTGGCTCAGCAGGTGCCTCTTGCTTCATCCTCACTTCCATGCCAAGTAGTTGCCATGCTTGACCAATTCCAAAACAGTCTTCATTCCCTGCCATTGCAACTTCAGTTGTGCAACTAAATTGCTACACAGTTCCAGATTCAGATTCAATATCTTTGCAAAAGATGCTTTGTAAGTTTTCATGATGTTTATATGAAACTCTATAGGTAAAAAAATAGATCTATTGATATCAGTTGTATATCAAGGTTTACAGTTCAAAATGTAAAAGAAACACACATACAAACATACAGAGAACAATGCAAGTTTGGGTTTCAATTTTGGAGCTTGTTTGTTGTTTTGTTTTCTTTGTCAAATCCATAACTTTTGCTGTCAAAATGTAAAAGTGATATTCTGAATTTATGGTTTTATTTTTCAGATTATGAGTTCAGGCTCTTGATGTATGATTTCATTCTCAAGATTCTAGATTAAGATTCTTAATCTAGGATTTCATTTCTCATATTCTAGATTAAGATTCTTAATCTAGGATTCCATTTCTCAAATTCTAGATTAATCTTTAGAAGGGAATAGATGATATCCTAGGAGGTCGTACAAAGAAAAGTTGTAGGGGAAAGGAAAAGGCGAGGGGGAGTAAGAAGGTCGTCGAGGGACGAATGAGGCGAAGGAATGTGTGATGGGGGCCATAGGAGTCCTCTCTTCTTCCAATTTTCTCAAATTCTAGATTAAGATTTTCGTCTAGGATTTCATTTGTCAAATTCTAGATTAAGATTCTTAATCTAGAATTTCATTTTCCAAATTCTAGATTAAGATTCTTAATCTAGGATTTCATTTGTCAAATTCTATATTAAATTGTTTCATCTAAGATTTCACTTGCCAGATTCCAGATTAAGGTTTTCATTCTAGAATTTCATGTTCCAATTGTTGCATTGTTGTATTTGTTTTTTTATTTTACCTGTTGATATTTGGTATATATGTGTGACATTTTTTTGTTCGTAGTTCAGTATTCTTTGATATATGTACTGTCTGAACCTGGAACTTCAGATCGGGCACCAGTGTTTTGGAAAGCAGTGAGTTTGCCAGTCTTCATGGAATGATGAACCAATGCAATCCAATATATATATATATTCAATTGATCAAGATTCAAATACATTTCAATTCATCTACTCAATTGTAATGATATTGTCTCTAGATCTGATTTGTTTGTCTTGTACTAACAAATGTAGAAATGAAATGTATGCAGTTCTATACATGTTGAGGCACTGGAGTGCTGCTGAACCAAGAGTGTAGCAATAAAAACATGTTTTGAAATGAATTGCTGTGATCCCACCATTCAAAAATAACAGCCACTTGGGCTATAGATAAAGAAAGCCACTAGGGCTAGTGAAGCCATTCAGGCTGTATGAAATCAGCCACTAGGACTGGAAATTGAGCCACTTGGAATAGATTAGCCAAATGATGCTGAAAACAATGAGTCACTAGGACAGGAAACAAAGCCACTGGGGCTTGATGAGCCATTGTGGCCAGATGAACCATCAAAGCTGCAAGTGTCAAGCCTTTCAGGCTGCAAATGATTCTTATTAAGCTGGATAAAATCAATCCAATTGTAAAATATCAAGCCACTGGGGCTCTAGGTGATCAACTGCAGTCAAACTAAGAAGGACACACAAACAAGCCACCAGGGCTGGACATAAAAGCCACTTAGGGCTTCAATAGCCATAAAGGCGTGCATAGCCATTCAGGCTCCCAGGGCCCTTTGCCAAAGTCCAAGCAACATTTTCACTCCATTGCCCAAAGAGTCATCCTCTCAGCTGTTCCACCATTGGAAACTGGACCCACTTGTTGCATGTAAAATGCATTTTGGTGATAGGTCCAATCCAGGCCCATGCCAATTCACTGATTTCATCATTGGGGTACCTAGTCTCGCAATGTGTTGCATCCCCAACATTCAAAAGAACTGTTTAAACCTTTCAGGGGAAAAACATAGCAACCTTACAATGAATCACATCCAAGACACCAGCTCTCCCATCCATTGCTGTATTTTGCAACTCGGTAGTGGATACCATTCCTGGTGATCCATCCAGAGAAGGCCACATTGGAGTACCTGTGCCACTTCTGCATCCTGAGATGATGCATTCCACAATTAGTTGAAATAAGAAACAAAGCCACCAAAGCCACCAGGGGCTTGATTAGCAATGGTCGATCTTATACCATTTGACCCATTGAAGGTGACACCAAAAAAATAATTGAGAAAACCAAGTGTCTCCCTTATCTCTCCATTGTCAAAGTAAAGGTAGGTCACTTCCTGGGTGTGCTTCACTTCCTTCAGTTGAGGAGCAGCTGGCATTGCTCTCAGACCTCTATCCAGTTCCTACACTTCCACTTTCACTATTCAGTTCCTACACTTCCACTATGGGGCCAAACAGTGGCAGGTAGGAAAAACATTAGGCTTGCTCCAAACAAAAAGCCATTGGCAATAGACATGGTGCCCTTTCTGCAGAGTGGTGTTATTACTTTCCATATACTGGAACAATGGCCAATGTTGTGAAAACTACATGGTACCAAACCAAATTCAACAGAGTGGG